AATGGTTATTCCAATGTAGCCCTTCTTCACTTGTTCACTTGTACACTTGTGTTGCTGTTGTTGTTGTAAAGGTTTTGTTGCACCGTCCGTCTGGCCGATGGATTGCGATAAGCGGCAGCGCGGCGTGCAGTCGACGGCCAGCAGCAGGCAGCCAAGAATGTCGGGCAATGCTATGCATGCTGCTTCCCCCTTTGGTCTTCTCCTTCTTCTCATCTCTTCTTTTGGGCTTCTCCTGCTTCTTTTTTCCGTGTGTCATGTGCTGTGTCAAGTTTTTACTTTTCGCCATTGGCATTGCCGTGCCGTCGATTGCCTTTCTTTGCCTTTGCCTCCGCTGCTGTTATTTTATCATATTTGTTGTTGTTGTTGCCGCTTTCGTTGCTTTTGTTGTGTCATGTTTTTGTTGGCAACATCATTCGGTAATTACGGTGCTTCTTAGCTGGCGCTAGCACTTTTTCTGATGTTTTCATTCACTTTGTACTATTGGATAACTCGGCGGCGGCCTCAATGGTACAAAATACCTACCACACAGCAGCATAAAAAGGTACAGCGGTGTTCGTATTAAAAGAAACAGTATGCGGCGTATTGCAAATTAGCGGTTTGAGAGAACCATTAATCTTTGAGACTCTTTAAAATTCAGCCGAATAATAAGTTGCCGCGATAAAGCACTTAAACTGTGAATATTTCTGAATCAATATCATGAAAATGTTTTCCAGTTGTTGCTAGAGTTATCCTGGGTCTCCCCTTTAGCTTCTTCTCCTCAAGGCCTTCCAAATTTCTTCTCGAGTATCTTTTATGAGGAAATAATTTGATTTGTATGCTTCAAGATAATTTGTATAGACTACGTAGTACTCCAAATAAATCCATTAAAATACTTCTAAAATAGCGTCACGAATTCCTTTCCATAAATATTATTTTCTGTTCAAATTGTGTGCACACATTTCCATCCAAATGTAATACTTAGCCATTTCTTTAGCTTTTCATGCAATATCCTTGAAAAAGAGCACCGAACTTATCTATAAAAGTTTTATGGGAACTCCAATTGGATTCCCGAAAAGAAACCCGCGGCCAAATAGGTGAGAGAGCACACACAATCTCTGAAACGAATCCATCTCGTATGTGATCTACTTCGATAGGTATCTCATACGATTGGAATGCCTAATTGGAAAATCTTTGATCTACTATACAGTTCCAATTTGTAATTATCTATTATCAACTGAAAGTTCGACTCATATCCAATGTGTTTTATTTTCCTGCGCTCTATATGGTCCAAATAAAATTGGCTTGGTTCACCGAAGAACTTTTGTTGCTTCTGTGCTTATTAAGTTGATGTAAATTTTAAATACTCGTTGCATACTACAAATGACGCTCTCCATTCATTCTAAACTAGAGCTTCCATCAACTTAGACGGTTTCGAAAATTTTAATGTGAGATGATTGTATGAGTTCTGAAAAAATTATCAGAGCATAGCTGGATAGCTTCGTTCATACAATTATATTGGCTCAATTTTATAATGACATGGAACGGCTGATGTAAAGGGTGTTTTTTCAGGTAATACTTTTTTCGGAGTTGGCCTTTTTGCCAGCTGTTACTAGATTTATACTCAGTTTAGTGTGCCATTTCATAATAAACAGACTTACTCTGGAACAACGTTTGCAAATTGTGCAACTTTATTACTTAAATAATGGTTTGGTTCGCGAAACGCATCGCGCAATGTGTCCAATATTCGGTCAGAGTCGTTAATTCGAGCAACCATGGATCGATTTCGCACCACGGTTACTGTAGTGAATAATGCGCGTCCTCAGACGTCGTAAAGTGCACCGAAGACGCTCTTGCTACTTTACGGAAGATTTTGCAGAAGGATCTTGGTTTGCGGGCTTAAAAAATTTATTTCGCATATAATTTCCACTCGCTTATTTGATATTATAATAAGTAGTATGAAGTTATAGAAACCAAACATGTACTTCAAATCCTCCACGATATTTAAACAATTTTTTTCCGAAATCTTTTTCTACCCATTTATACCGTGGCGATACACATCTTAATTTATTATACAAACGTTTATTCCGTAAGATTTGCGAGAGTGTTTTATATCCAGTTTCGCCCCCAAACTTAAACTTTCCCTACTTTTTTGGTTTATTTTCCTTATTTACTTGCACGCCACTGTATAAATTAACCATTATCTCTTCTTGTGGATGCTGTGCGAATGCCGGCCACATTGACCCTTAAAAAGTGCAGCCAGGAGTACGAAGGCATGAAGGCGTACGCTTGTAGTACAAAGCCTGTTACAACACCAACGCCACTGCCATGCAGGTGGTCTCGCCTCACCTAGCGCTCGGTCCTCGGACCCTTTACTACCGTCTGCAGTAACTCCTACTCGCTGCAAGCATTTGCTCGGCTACTACTTAAAAATATTTGGAGTTTGTTTGCTGTCATTGTTATTATTGTTGTTGTAATTGTAGTTTTTGTTGTTATTATTGATGTTGTTGTTGCTGCTGTTGTTTTTGCTGTTTTAGCCACATTTCAATGCATTGTTTCGGTTCGGTTGCTGGATTTTAAGAATGGCCAGTGAAAAAGACGAACGGTGAGGCGGCGAGTTTAAGAATGCATATATTCGTATAAAGGTGGTTATATGTGTATGTGTTTGTGTTTGGATCTTTCTTATGGACCACTAAATATGTTAGCGCCATTTACAACAACACAATACGTCTTAACAACGTATTTGCAGCACTTAAAGTACAATCAATATAAAATGCATGAAAACATACAAACGACTTGTTACATACATACAATCCATACAAACGTAAGTATATATATTATATACTTGTATATCTATATGTATACAACAAACAATTGTGTACATTAATGAGCTCAAGTGGCCGAAACGTAGAACAACTTGCTGCCCAACATTGCAGCAACCATTGTTTTGTTGTAAGTAATTGTTTTTGTTGTTGTTGTTGTTATTGTTGTCGACGACCCATGTTTTTGGCTGCTGTGCAGGAATTCGTTTGTTATACACCTATTTGATGATGTAGCATTTCCGCTTTGACTTAAGCCCTAAGTGTGTTGATAAGCGCTATTGTTTACACGCACACACACACACACACACTCACTTAAACACACACACAAATGTATGTGAATACCTTTTAGACTCTGCTCTTGTTGCTGTGTCGAAAGATTTGTCCGATCAATTTGCCTTACAGGTAGATATCAGCTATTAGAAATGTGTTCTTGGTACCTCATAAATAATATGATCATTTCACGAGTGTGTGTGTGTTTATATGTATATACAAATAAACGTATTTGAGTGTGTCATGTTTTAAGCGCCAGCATAAATAAGTAAAACAAATAAGGTAGAGGTAGTTTTAGTCATCGGAAATGAATAGGTATATTAGCCGTGAGATTCACTTTAAAGGCAGCCGGACAGATGAAAATCACTACACTAGTTATATGAATTATATGGGAGCTTGAAAAATATTTCAGATTCTGCTGCGGGGTTCTCGAATGCCTTAACGAATCTTCACCCTTTAGTTTGCAGATTTGGTTTGCAATCTCTGATGAGCTCCATTATCGTATCCAGCTGCGATGGTGTAACCGAGATCCATACCCTTGCTCTTGGCAGGGATGGGATGTCTTTTATGTCGATCGCTACCAGCCTGGCTCCGGGATATATCTCCTCAATTTTGGCCTTATATAGCTGGACCGAGCTCTCGTCATCATATGTTATCATTTTGATGTAACCCTGATACCAGCCGACATCTGTGCATGACCTTGATTGCTTAAAAGCACTTCCAGCACCACGTTTGTCAGCACAGCTTGCACCCATCTCCATTGGTCTCTGCGAATTTTTCCTTCTTCCTCATCCAGCACACCAATGATAATGCGGTTCCGGGCCACATCATCACCCTTCTCAGCGGGTAGGCAGCTAAGTGTTTTGGTGAGTCTACTTTATCGGAAGCACAAGTGTTTGAGCGACACAAAGCTTTCAATGAAAATCATGAAGTTATTGAAAACAAGCCTCATGCGAGTAGTCCATCCACCTTTGTTAATGACGATAACTTCGAAAATGTTAAAGAAACAGTGCTTGAAAATCGTCATCAGAGAGATAGCAAAGTATCTCAACATCGCTTGTGGATCGTCATTTTGGTTAGAGTTTTGGATATGAAGTGTTTCAATTTTCGATGAAGACACTAAAGCCCATGCCAGCCGATGCTTATAACAAGTGTTCGGAAAATTGGATTAATAATTGCCATGATTATGTTGGCTTAAAAGGAGCATATTTTAAAAGCGATAATAAAGATTTGTATTAAAGCACGTAGAAATGTTGATTATTTTTGTCAGTCTGGAACAAACATCCGGTATACAGTTTAAAATCAATCGAAATGACGGAAGACCCTCACTATTCAAATGACAGTCGAATCTACGTTACCAAAACAGACCTGCATTTTTATTCAGCTAAGGACTGTCAACTCGACATCACTCCTTAAAATTATTTGGAGAATGTTTAATGCTAATGTTCTTAAGTTTTACTTCGTTAATTTTAATGATCCTTGAGCGGTATTATATATTGCATTGACAAATAATGATTCATGAAGTTCAAACGCTCCCTAAAAGTTGATGATATTACTGTTTAAGCTCGAAGCCCACAATGTAATAGGTGTCGTCCTATTCATTGTCCAGTTCGCGCTTTCTCTCTTTCAAATAGTAGTCGTAGTCTAATGCTAAGAAGTTCGCTCTTCTAATATTAAGAACTTGGAATTTCTTCCCGACTAACATAAAAAAATGTCTCTTAAAGCGGTCGCTCCTCATAAAGTAATCGCAAACTACAATAGTAAGAATATTTAGTATATAAAAAAAACGCATCTTAAAATTTAACAGTTCATACAATCGGCTACAGTAATTGTTTGAGATTACAGAATATTTATTATTATTTTTACATCACTGATTTTCTTAACATCCTCACTTTCGCTTAGAGAACTTACAACATTTTTTCTATTCCACAGGTAATTTGTTATCGTGTTCCAATGAAGGCGAAGTGGTGCAAATCACGGAATTAAAAATAACGTCAAAATGTTATCAATGTACCTGCAAGGTGAGTTCAAAAACAACCCAAGTAAAATTCTCAGTTTTCAAGTTTTTATATTAATGTAATTCCAAACTTGTACTAAATATTTTTGTAAGAATCATAGAATAGCGGAAATACTAAATAAAAAGAAAAAACGTTAACTTTGATTGCAACGAAGCTAGAATACCCTTCACAAATGAAAAAGTTTTCCATACAAGAACTTGTTTATTATCGATCAATTGTTATGGAGGCTATATGCTATAGAGGTCCGATCTGAACTTTTTTTTCGGAGATTGCGTTTCTTTTGAGAATAATCCATGCCAAATTTTGTGGAGATATCTCGTTAAAAAAAAGGTTTTCCATACAAGAACTTGATGTTGATCAGTTGGTATGGCAGCTATATGTTCTAGTGATCCAATATTGGCGGCTCCGACAAACTACAGCTACTTAGGGAAAAAAGGTCGTGTGCAAAATTTCAGGACATTATCTCGAAACCTGAGGGATTAGTTCGCATATATGGCATACAGACAGACAGACCGATATGCCGAAATCGACTCAGCTCGTCATGCTGATCATTTATATATACCTTATACTCGTATTTTGTAGGGTCTCCAACGTTGCCTTCTGGGTGTTACAAACTTCGTGGCAAACTTAATATACCCTGTATAAAGGGTATAAAAATCCCTAAAATACCGAAAATATCTATGTGTTTCAGGCTATTCTTAGGCTTCTTAACGCCTAACCTTGGTGACGGCCAATTCAATATTAAGCCTTTCAGATCATCATTGCATAGATAAAAACAGTGATTATTTCCCAGCTCTCTCTCTCTCTCTCTCTTTCTCTCTTTCTCTCTCTCTCTCCTGACGTTTCATGAGTCTAGAAATGTGCTTCTTAACTAATTTGCGAGGCCTTTAGTGGCAACTAGTTTTAAACAAAACTTCATAGTGGCCCCAAAAAGTTTTCACCACCAGCTCACTCTCACGCCAAAAGCTTGTGAGCTGTTTTCAAACTTAAGAAAAATTAATTGCATAACTGCAAAGCATGTCCTTAAGTTTATTTCATTGGTAAAACAAAAACAAATCATGTTGCTATGCGCACAAAGCATCACACACTTACATTGTAAATACTATGCAAGAAGAATTGCGTTCAAATAAGTACTCAACTATAAGCTTGAAAAATTGCAAAAGGAAACGAGTATGGATCTATTATCAAAGAACAATAAAGGGTGTTTAGTTAAGAATGCTTAGTAAATATATTTTAATGCAACATCAATAATAAACAACAACAACAACAACAATAATAATAAGGTTTTCTTCAAATAGTTTTGGAAATGATATCTTTGATCGGATACCCAGAAACATTGCGGGTACATAGACCGAAACGATATGAAAACAAACCTTTCGAAGTACTTCACTTTTAAAGTAGTCTCATAATTATACCCTAAACAGGGTATATTAAGTTTACCACGAAGTTTGTAACACCCAAAAGGCAACGTCGGAGACTCTTAAAGTATATTTTTAAATGATCAGTGTATAGAACCTTTTTTAATTTGTAAAGGGGATTATAGCTTCGGTGTAGCCAAAGTTAAATTGTGAAAAATGAATCGAAATTCCAAAATCCTGAAAAAATTTTGGCTGCTTACTGATACGTTTCAAAGTTGCTAATGAAGACTAAGATCTTGGGTGTAAATACAGAAGAGAGAAGTTGATTTCGATTCGTTATTAGAATCAAAATTATCCAAAGTGTTTGAGATGGAGACGTATATGAGTACAAAAAATGAAATGTGGCAAGTCACTTGAGCCAAGGTGAAGATAAGGAAGGACTTTTCACAGTTGTTTTGTAGTGAAGGATATTCTAGACTCTCTGTCTTTTATGTAATACTTTTAAAAATAAGTCAAGTTAGATTCGTTTTTTAAGCTGATCTCCATGACGGAGATGTGGAACGGTCCTTTGTGGAATCAAAAACTGTTAAAAGTAATTTTAGAATTTTACACCTCATGTAATGACGTGAAAACGTCTTGAACTGTGAAGTCTACATATACAATATATAAAAGCAGATCTCTCTCTATACCTATTCTCGAATTTGGGATCAAAGCTGACAGCATCCGTTTGGGCGGCTCCTCAAGAATTTAAAAAAATTGTTTACAAAAGATGAAGGAATATCTTGGTTCGGCAAAAGCGAACAGCGATGTGAAATCAATCGATGAGGTATGTGTGAATACCAGTGACTACAAAAGCTGGGAGACCTTAGATACATAATATCGAGAACAGAAGGACAAAATTTCTAATACTTTCAAAATATCAAATGTAGAAGCTTAGTACTTCTAGCGCTATCTAGCGAACCTTGTCATAGTGGATCTTGATCTAGGCGCATCCTGTACGAAGAAGAAGCCCCAGAAGAGCTCGCGCATGGCAAAAGATAATATTTTGGCTTGAGAAAGGGAGATCGGATTTGACACCCTTTTTAATATTCGCTTTAGTATGTGTATTGTTGTTACAAATTCATATGAATTTTGTACCGCCATAAACCATAGAATTGATTATAATTTATCTAGCCAACGAACAGCGTCTCAACTTATTGCCAACTACACATGCTTGTGTGGGTATGTGTGTGTGTGCCTTTAATGCGCTTAACTTTTGTGTTGTTATTGTTGTTGGAATTGCAAGCACTTTTATGTTGTAGACGGCTTCGCCGCTTCCATGAGCAGCCAAGTTATTGACCCAAATATTTGTCAACGCTAAAATTCATAATCTCAAATGACAGCAGACAAAGGGAGGGCACACAAACACACTAATTCATGCATGCAGAGATAGTAGACGTAGCAGGCGGAAGTTAATATGGAAAGCATAGCAATCAGTGTGGGCATGAATGTGTGAGTGCATGAGTGTAAGGATGTGTGTGTGTGTGTGTGTGCGCGCATAATGAATGATTTATATGCGAAAATCCGCTCAAAATAAGTGACTGCATTGAGGACACACGCACACACACACGCCTGCATAGCTAGCGTCCTACTCCAGATCCTTTCTAGCCGCCCATCCGCCTTTGAGGGCCAACACATCGCTTGGTGATGCGTAAATTTCATTGCGTGAGCTGGCGACTGCCAATATTCGCTACGAACATGTGAATAATTCGCCGTACACATATAAACGCACACATACTCATGCACTAGAGGGGGGTAGATATGCAGCGCTAAGATTTCTTAGTTAACCTCAAAGCAAATAATAAAGAAAAAAATACTCGAAATAAATAAAATAAAGGGCAAACAGCTTGAACTGGCCAGTGGCCACATTCTGCGCGATTCTTGAACTCATTTTCGCAGAACCGTTATGAATCGCTTGCAATTTGTATGTGTGTGTGTGTGAGCGTATGCGTGTTGTGGACAGCGGCCAGCAGCGCCAAAGCGCGGCTCAATAACGCAAATAAAATACATACAGCATATGTATTGGTACTCACATAATCATGTAATAAAACATTTTGTTGTTGTTGTATTATTTTTTCCATTTATTATACCCTGAACAAGGTATATTAAGTTTGTCACGAAGTTTGTAACATTCAGAACGAAACGGCGAAGATCCTATAAAATATATATATATATAAAGGATCAGTGTGATGGGCTGAGTCGATTTAGCCATGTCTGTCTGTCCGTCCATTTGTCTGTATGTACGCAAACTAGTCTCTCAGTTTTTGAGATATCGATCTGAAAATTTTCACACGTTCTTTTCTTTCAAAGAAGTTGCTCATTTGTTTTAACCGCCGATATCGGACCACTATAGCATATAGCATCTATACAAACTGAACGATCAAAATTAAGTTCTTGTAAAGAAAAGTTTTTCATTTTAAGTAATATATTCAAGAAATTTGGCTTGGATTATTGTCTAAGACAACGGTACAATCTTCGAAGAAGTTATTCAGATCGAACCACTATAGCATATAGCTGCCATACAAACTGAACGATCAAAAGCAAGTTCTTGTCGAAATATTTTGTATTTGTGAAGGGTATTGTAGCTTCGGTGCAACCAAAGTTAACGTTTTTTCTTTTATATTTTTTTGTTTATATATCCAGGGCATTTTTATAAATAATGTGATTTATGCTCAACTGAAAGGAAATGTTCCGTAGGCAGCTGTTTGGCAACACTAAATACTCTGAAATATGAGCCAAATATTGCACACACGCACAGCATTGCAATGCACACACATAAAAGCGTTTATAAAACTATATATTACAGCAGGTTAGTATCAAAACATAGTGGTACATACGAGAGCAGCTCAAAATGTTACTGAATTATTGCATATACATAAGTATATTGCCTGCTAAATATTTTGACAATATAGTCTACTTTTAGGCGCGTGGCTTAGCTCATTAGTTTTTATGCCTGACAAGCTCTTTTCGCAATGTGTTTGAATTGGAAGTTATAACAAATTACCCCGCAGATATATCTTTATATCCTTCTTATCCAAAAACAAGAAAATACTATTCACAGTGATCGTTTAGTTTGTAGAAATGACAACTCTTTAGATATTGTGGCACAGTCTTAAGAAATAATCCATGCCAAATTTCCTGAAGACATATTTTCAAATAAAAAAGTTTTCCATACAATAACTTGATTCCGATTATTCAGCTTGTATGGCAGCTACATATAATTGTATGCTATAGTGAGCCGGTAGCAGCAGTTCCGACAGCTTTTTGGAGAGAAAAGGACGTGTGCAAAATTTCAGAATTGATATAGTATACTAGTATACTAGTTTCCCCAGTGGGAGAAGAGCCGCTAAAAAGGTTCAGACGAATTAGTGTAGAGATCTATATTTTTTCGCCAGGAAAAAGGTCTCAGGTTTATCTTTTGCTTCAATTTCGTTTAATAGCTCTTCTTTTGCGACTTCAGTTCGAGGTATTTCTATGTCTCTCTCTCTTATTTCTCTCTCTCATCTCGCTCTCTTAACATGGCACTATTTCGTTATATTTAAATATCAGAAATTTTTATAAAATGCTTGAAGTTAGTTCACTGGATTAGTGAAAACAATGTTTTTC